AAAAAAAAAAAAAAAAAAAAAAAAAAAAAAAAAAAAAAAATCACAAGGTGTATTTATGGAAAAAAGAAAAAAAAACACACAGAAAAATGTGGGATTCACTAACACTATGCTCTTTTGGTTTAAAATACTGCAGACTCTTTGACACCTGCATCCAGCTCATTGTGGACTGGCCACCATTGGAAGCCTCCTGGGCTCCCCAGCTGGGAGGGCATCAACCACCCCACCCCCCACCATCCACAACCAGCCCAGGGATGACCTTGCTGCCACTGGAAGCCCCCTGGCTCCCCTGCCGGAATAAGGGGGGTGTCATGGTCCTCAACCATACCCCCCACCTACTTCCACTTCCTCCCAGCCTATCACCCCTCCCCATCCACTCTCAGCTTACCCCCAACTGCTTTGCAACAACATGTCAGAATGTGAAAATAATAAAATTAAATAAATTTAATATGAAAAAAATTTTTTAAATACATGGGATTCTTAATCTGCAGCCTCTTGTGGATTTCACAGTTCACAGCTATTGGTTAGACACTCCTTAGATTTTCTGACCCAGAGTAAAGGAGTTACTACTTAACTCCAATCTGAGAGTGGCTGATAAAAGGAAATTAAATGCTTCCAATTTTCATAATTTTTCTACCCATCGAAAAGGAAGGTTGGCAAAAATTCAGACCCAAGATACCTCTGAGAACAAATATTTTTCTTCTGTCTTTGGTTAGATTCACCAGTGACCAGGATTCCCATGCAGGCAGCGTATCTGTGAACTATGGAAATCATGAGAGGAAGAAGGAAAAAGAGACAGGGAAGACAAAATGGACAGGTAAGGCCACTTTGGAAAGTCAGCTGCTGCTTAAAATGACTACAGCTCAAGCTCATCTTCTCATCTTAAAACACAGGAAAAACACCACCAGGTTATTCCACATGAGAGGAGAGGGATCTGGGGTGCGCACACGCCTCTTCCTGCCATTACCAATTGTGGACTATCCTAAGAGATGCTCACTCCAGGCCTGTGGTCTGCCACGTGGCAGGCAGCGCTGCCCTCCCTGGCTTTGGTATCATCAGTGGGGTAACATATGGCTGGTTGAGGTCAACCAAAGGACATTGAAAGAAAATGGCCCAGGATACAGACAAAGACTATTCTGTCTCCCTAGAAAAATTATGAACGTTCAATCTGGAGCTACACTGCTCTGACACTCGATCCTGGCAGGCTGGTTGAAAGCAAATTTTCATTAAACTCAGGCCCTGAGATGGGCAGCAGCAGATTTGTGTACAGGATATGCCACCACGGTTTGGCCACCTCTAGTCAAGCACGATGAAAGCACTCTATCTAGTCCCCAAGTCAACTCAGGTTTTTACAATTGTCCCCAAAGTGTCTTTTGTAACAAAATGTCCCCCCAGGAAAGGAACACTTTCTCTGCAGGCAAATCTGTGCTGCCCGTTTTAACAAGGCACACCTGGGGACATCAGGCCTGAGCCCACCCTGCAGCTGTGCCCAAACCTGTCCCACCCCTTGTGATTTGCATTTCCTCAGAACACAGCCCACTTCCCTGAAGACATTCTTAGGCAGGGCACACCCTGTGCAGCTGTCAGTTCCAGTCAGGACACAGCATGGACATGAGGGTCCCTGCTCAGCTCCTGGGGATCCTGCTGCTCTGGCTCCCAGGTAAGAAAGAACACTAGGAATTTACTCAATTCAGTGTGAT